AATAATACTGTCCAGTTTTTTCGTCCAGTTGTGACCAGACCACAAGAGAAGAAATGTGGCGTGATGCAAACGATGACTCGGCTCGCAGTCAGAGCCCTTAAGTCGACCCAGAGGCAGTTAGCTAACTCCCACACTGCTGCGTACAGTACTGTGGAAGAACTGTAACTGCACTAGAGCTGCTTTGTAGCTGCTCTGCTCAATGTTTTTCCACTAGGTGCTCTCTTGGGCCCCCCCACTCACTTGCCTGCAGTGATGTCTGAGGCCACCACTACAGGCAGCTGCCACACCTCTGCTGAGGCGAGAGGCTCCTCAGTGAAGAGGGCTAACATTTCAGATGTGCTGCCATTAAACACCCCAGAGATCCGCTGCATGCACAATACAGTAGAGAGGAGTCAACGCAGGTCTCGTAAAAGAGCACACATCATAAGTTAGTGCTAATCATGAGGGGGAAATGTTTTGTTGGTTGTATTGTGTTTAAGACCATCAGGCTTGTTTTAACATCAAGGTGAATCAAACTTCATTGTGGTCCAAAGCTGTATTCACACTCACACTACGCTTGCTAAATACACCAAAATGTTCAAGAAGAGCCACATGTGTGAATGCAAATGACTGCATTGGTTTACACCCTGACTCTTCCCAGAAATCACCCTGACATTACCTAGCAGGTAAAAGTCAGGAAAACTCTGCACATGGAAAGTTCTGACAATGACTGGATCTTGAGCTGTGCAGTCTTTGTGCGACTCACGAGGCTGCTTCTTATGCTTTTTTGATTACCAGCATCTTCTTTTCCACTAATTTCACTTACACTTTCCGTATGTCCCCTAACATGAGGCACTGACATTGAGGCAAAAACTGTCATCATAGTGTCACTCTCTGCTTTATCTGCTGAAGTGGTTAAAGCACCACAGTCGAATCAAATTAATACACAACATAACACTGCAATGACACAACAAACGTGATATCTGCATGATGTATCATATTCAATGCGTAATTATGTCACAACAATACATAATCTACTAGTCATTTATTCACAAGAGCAAGATGGGTCCAATCAAGTTATAGTTTAAAACTACAAATCAATAAATAAAAAACAGAGTATAGTGCCATTTCACACATTTTGTTGACATGTCATGTGAACAATTTCAGAAAAGGATGCATATTTATTATTGACATTGTGATGTTGCAACTACTGTAAATATATGTTTCCAATGCCAATGAACATATTAGTGGGAATATTCTTATAGCTGAACATAGACTTGCATTATCCATACTTAGGCCCTAACCAGAATCTGGCCCTTCTGTGTCACCAAATATAAAAACCCCTCAAAACTCTGACTATTGACGTGTTGGTAGAAGTGTCTTTATGGTGGGAATGATAGAGACTCTGTCATTATCGATACAGTTTCACTCTAAATTCACTTAAAATTTTCTCCTGTAGGCACTGCTTACATTATTTCACTGGAATGCTGTTCTGGTCTTTTTTGCCTAAACACCCAGAAGGCGTAGACTTTATGAAAAACAGAAAAAGTGCAAACATTATTTTTTAAATTTATTTTTATGGTCACAAAAACTGTCTAAAAAAAAGTTACTTTTTCTTGAAAGCAAACTTTTTCCAAAGGTTTCTTAATTTGAAGAACTAATCAACATGTTATGTTACTTATTATGCTGCGTTTCGGTTACCTATGAAGTTGGATGTTGAACCCGGGAATGACGTTACAGCCGAATTGACTGTGTTCCAGTGAACAAGTTGGAAAACCAAGATGGACGCCTACTGTTAGCCATTGTTAGCTGTTGTTAACAATTGTCAGCTGTTGTTAGCTATTGTCAGTTGTTGTTAGCTATACCAGTTGTAAACAACGGACAAAACAGTATTTGACTCCTACAAACACCACAGCACCGTGTTCACAGTTAGACTTTGAACAGTACAACATATACCACTTACTAAATTTTAAAACAGAGGTGCTAATATATAATACATTATGTGAGCTTTTACTGTTACTCTTTACTGTTGATGCAATGCACTGCCATCTTGGATTATAATGTTGTCATCAGGTCTGGGTTGACGAGGATCGTCTGACTTTCCGAGTTTGAAATCCGACTTCCCGGCAATAAAAAAAAACAAATTAAACTGCATAAAAATCAGTTGATAAATGAGCAAGTTATAATTTATTTTCAATGTACATATATTACCTTCAATGGAAACAATTCCCCCACTAGCTTAGCCTTCGTGTAGGCATGCAGCTCAAAGGGGCATGTCGTATCCATGCATTTATATCTGTGCAACAAACAACTCTGTGACACACTACTCCAACATTGATCATTACACTGGGAACCCCAGCATCCTTTTCTAGTCATCCGTCAACCCTTACAACGCCACCTCCTCTCTTATTTGGCCTACAGGAAAAACTTTGGGCATTAGGAACGTGTATTATTTATCTTATCTAAATAGATTTGGATTCAGAGTGTAAATGTAAAAAGGTCCTTAGTTTCATATTTTTAAAGCACCTGTGAGGGACTTTCTCTGTCCATGTTAGTTCCCCTGTACACAAAGTGACGACGACTGACCCTGTGTGCTAGAAGTGTCTTTTGATCCTGCTGTCTTTCACCAGCCTACCACTCACTGTGATTTATTGTGATAAAGTCTAAAAAAGAAAAAGTCTTCAGCGTGCTGTCAGCTGTCCGGTGTGACACCTCCAATCTCACAGCAGGTACTGGCATTAAAATTCATTCTATAGAAATTGTCAATCATGTCATGGATGGTCTCATTTGCTATTTAAGGTTGTAAAAAGCCAGAACTGTTAATGTCAGCCTGTTTCATTACCAGGTAGAATCACTTCATGGAGGTTTAAGGTCACATGGATCCAACCTGGAACACAGAGTACTACATCTTTTGTCTTTTTGCTTTTACAGGACAAACCCATTTGATAGCACCATGCAAGCCGTTATAAAGTGTCAGCGGTGAGCTGTCGCAGTTTGTTGTTTGTTCTTAATGGAGGCACAGTATTGAATCCTTACATACAAAGACTGCTTTTGTGAATGCTGAGTAGGTGGGACTATTTGGTTCATTCTTCCTACATGAATGCAGAACAGTTCAGGTGAGGTTACACTGAAATCAGATGTATACTAACCCATGGCTCTGATAACACTGGTAGTATTCATAGAGCCTGAAATGGTTCTGTTTCATTTGGATTCTGCTCCAAAGTCCTCCTCTAAAATTACTTTTTTAGATGTGAATTTTTGGGATAACAAAAAAGTTCTGGTAGACAATGCATACGGAAAAGGATGACTTATAATTTGAAGTGGTTTTAGTCATCAAAGTCACAAATATGCTGCTCTTTCTTCCATTACTTCAACAAAAAGACTCTTTCTGACTTAAATGTTGCAGTAGAAATGCTGCAGGGACTCTCATATCTCTGTTTGATTGAACACATCTGTCTCTTGTCACTGAGTGTCTCTGTTGTCCTGTTTTCCACCAAATGAATGAGAGCCAGTTGTTTCTCTGTGTGTACTGGGATCCAGCCCCTGATTATAGAGGGTGAGTCTCCGCCTCTGGGATCGTGGTAAGCGACTGGCTAACCTCTGGCTGATGTCAGCAGCGTTTAGCGTAAAGGGGAAAGTCTCTGCAGAGTCGTCCAGTGAACCGGACTTTGACTGCTGTGTGTTTTCGTTGGACGTCAGAGTGTGACACTTGATGCTAAACAGACTCCAGACATACGCCAACATACAGCAGAGGGAACGGACAGAGGAAGCTTGGGCATGCTGGGTAACGAGATCCAGCAAGACCTGGGGGCTGGATCGTGGCAACCTGTCACGCCTCACTGATGTTAAGTCAAAGTTTGGGGTCAGTATCCAACTACCAAATGTTATAAATTTCTTCATAACATTTTATTGTCATCTTTCATTTGTTCAGTATGAGAGGGATATATGGAGTTGGCTGGTCTAAAGCTAGTTCTGTATTAATTCATTTCAAAGTTCAAAAAAACTAGTAATTTGTGCATTGGAAGCTTGCAATTTTAAGTAAATCATGCTCATTGGGAAAGTCTTCTTGTCGTTTTCTGAGAAGGCAACAAGATTCTTGGTTATTATAGGCTTTGCATGTGTAGCAAGTACAGAGGCTAGATTAGTATTTGGGCCTAGGTCTCAAGAAGACAGGTTCGACTCTTAGAGGATAGTGGTACAATAAAACACAACAAACAGCACTTCAGTTGCAGTTGGTACCATATATTAATGAGTGACAAGTATGTACCATAGACTGTATATAAGATGGACAGAGCCTGCCTCCTCACTGGGTGAAGCCACTCCGAGAACAGCACCCTCTGATGGTGGGCTGCAGTACAGGTCATAAATCCCGCCTCCGCCAGCAAAGCTTATGGGACTGTGGACAAACTTTAGAAATTTATTACACAGAACATAATTTTTTCTCCCCCCTGGTTGTGATGTTGACATGTAGTTACTGTAAGACTGGTTTGTGCTTAAGTCCTCTTTTTTCTGTACAGCTCCGTTTTTAAAAGTTATTAGGGGGTTCATGTTTTCTATGATTGACACCTGGTACAGCCTATGGGCGTTCAGGGATTCCGAAGCTCTTCCGGGGGAATACGCTGTTTGACCCGAGCGTCATCACAGGGACTCTCGGCGACTGCGCGGCCGAATGCGCACAACGCTACTGCACAGCTCTGGTTTCAAGGAAGCGGAGAAAAACCCGGAATTACCGAGAGCCATTTGGCTTCAAATCCGTATACAGGCGGAAGGCGGAACCACGGCGTCCATCTTATATACAGTCTATGGTATGTACAGTGAAAACCCAATATTTACAATCTGGAGAATATTAAACTAAATAAGAAAAGCACTTAATCTTTCAGATGCATCATCAACAATCAAGGAAAAAAACAAACAGTCCAGTCTCAGGTGTAAGTGACACGGCAGTAGCTAAACACACACTATGTATAACGCACGAAATTCATAGATGATTGAGGCACACAAACATTGTCCAACATGTGTGCTGCAAAGGCAGAGTCCTAGATGTTAATAGTCCATGGCCTTAAAGTGCAAGTGCGTGTGTGTGTGTGGTGGGTGTGAAAGAAGGTGAGGGGGGAAACAAGGCTGCCAGAGCCTCCTACCAGACCAGAAGAGGCTTTTAACTGGGATTGCTCAGCTCAGGCCAGTGTCTTAGCTCGCCATCGATTCAGTTCTGAGTCCTTACAGGCACCCTGGCCTGTATAATGTAAACAGGACCACAATATATTCAGTGTACACAATGGTTAAGAAATGATTTGATAGTTCATGAGCAAAAATAGACATGAACAACAATTAAAGTGCATTTGATTTAAACACATTTACATCAGTTCTTCATATATAATCAATGACAAATCTTCTCAATTTTCCTTAAATAAAAGGTCAACATTCACCAAATCACATGGATTCAGAGGCCAGCGTTAGCATTTAAAAGCTAGGTGTGCCGTAGCCAGTCCATATAAATGCATTGATACACACTAATGCTAACGCTACGACAACAGACAGACTCACCAATTGTGGAATATATCCGGCGCACCGCGCGACCAACTTATCCCTCCCCGACGCTGGCTGATGTCTAACAGGTTGAAGAATGTAACAGTGACATTTAGACCAGATATGAACAAGAATTTACGAGTGCAAACGACATTTGTTTGTGGCGACCGATCTGTAGCAGCTGCTCCGCGTGCCGCCCCTCACCTTCTGAGAGACGGAGCGGACAGTTTGTAACTGACGCGACCAGCGACGCGATTGGACAGCGGCGGCAACCCAGGTACGTGCGCGATGACGCAACGCTACGTGACCGGAAGTTACACTCGCATTTTATACTAATGATGAACATGACGTAACAGACTTAAATATCAGATTTCCAACCCGGTTACACATGGAGCATTTTGGTTTTATTTTCTTGAAATTCTCACTTTAGTTTTCTTCTCAAGGGCCTTTCTCACTTAAAGTCTGCTTAGAAGGTCCAGATCAGGGACCAAATGTTTACATCGTTGCATTTTGCATTTGGTCCGGTTATAGTTCACATAGGACTTTTGCTGAGCAAACCAAATGGCTTAAAAAAAAAGGGAAAATCGATGTCTGTCACTTGCTCATATGGGGCACAATCTTCATTGTCCCTCAACGCGCAGAGAGTAGCTGACCAGAAGGAACTATGGGTGTCTTGCTTTACAAAATTTACCAGAGGTGGTGGAGACATGTGCAAAGAGACGCCCGGTATTAATGCAAAGGAATGCCTTTAAAACATTGTTAGCGTCTTTGTCGAACAGAAGAACACCCAGGTATTTCATATTGATCACCCGACTATTGTGTTAGAACACAAACCCTCTGCCATTCGTCCAGTTTTACGGACAGTCCAGTGTTTTGACCGGCTGTTCTCCGTCTGCTGCAGCCTCCTGCTGGGCATAATTTCCCGGCTTTATTACAGTGTAAACGTGTTGTTGGTTTATATTGACATATACAAAGTCTGGTTGCATCAGCGCTGCGTTCACACCTATGGACCGGACCATGGTTCGTTCGGAAGGGGACCAAGTTTGGCATCTTCAAGAAGACCGTGGTCTGTTTGTTTTAATCCGGGCCATGGTTCGCTTGCGCGTTCATACCACTTACCAAAGGAGTAAGGGGGCCATGGTCCTTTTAAAACAAAACCAAACAGTCCTGGTGAGAATGCGCCCTTAAAGTCATGTTTAAAAGCAGAAAAAAAATGTGTTGTGGAATAAAAACTCATAAAATCAACCATTTAAAAAAAAAGTTTTCAAATACAGAAGATGAACAACCACAGCCATACTCAGAAGTAACAGACCTAAATATCAGATTTATTATCAGAAGTATGAAATCAATTGACAAAGATACAAACTGGACATTTTGTGTTGTTTAAGTTAATTTTCTGAACAAATAATACAGTTTTAGCCAGGAATCATTTCTTTCAGTGTTTTTGATTATTTCAATTCATGAAAATGTTTCTCGAACAATAATAAAAAAAATGTCAAAGGAACTTAATCTCTGGATTTTTTGCATCCCCATAGCTTATTGCCATATTACACCTGGGTTGAGGAAAGGCAAACATGCACACATGCACGCACACACACACAAACAAACGTCAGCTCAAGAGAGGCAAAAGGAGACACAAAGGTGGTGGCAAAGGAAACAAGGAGGCAGAAAATGTGAGGATCCGAGGCCTTGGCAGGAGTCAGTGTGGCATGACAAGGCTCCCATTACATCTCTTGTCAGCTCATAAGCTAATGGAGGCATTAGCATAGCTTATAGTAAGACTATGAGTCATTGAAGATGATATATAATTTAAAGAACCAGCTTAAAAACAGGGTGTGCAGTTTACACAGCTCAGTTGATGAGAGCCCTCAGCAGATGCAGGCATATACCAGAGTTCATTTGTGAGCTGTGCATTAACGCTGCACAAACACACTCACACACACACATGCAAACTGGTACACATACTTGCATCAGGAGGCTAATTACTGGAGCTCATGCGTTACTGATACCATCTCTTATTTTTCTCCCCTCCCATGTCTAATAGTTGTGACAGTAAATGAAGAATGCCTGGGGGGGCATTTTCATTGTGACACATTTAAGAACGCCAGCAGAGCACGTGACTGTAGAGTGTGTGTGTTTGTGTGTGTTTAGCTTTAGCGTGCCTCTTTGCAATTCTTCAAAGTGCTGTCACAAAATACAAACACTGGCGCTGGAGCTTGATAAGATCTGTTCAGGATCTCCATCAAAGAATCACCGTTAATTGTCATCTGTCACAGCTGAGGCGGTGCGAGGGCAGCGCTGTTGCATTTCGATCAAGACAAGTGTAGAGAAAGAGGCTGATAGGCTGTGACGGCTCCAGGGTGCGCCTGACGCCTCGGGGGCATCTCTCTGCCCAGAATCAAGCCTTCATTGTGGGGGAAGGAGCTCTGAGGGCCCCCCTGATAATCTGACGCCCATTCTCCTCTCTGTCTCACCTGCAGGTGGGAGCTCGCACTGCTGAAGGCCTCCTCACAATCAGCGCCCTCTTTCTCTCCCCCCACCTCTGTTCCCTCTCTCTCCTTGCTCTCCTTTTTAATCCCTCATCCATCCATCTATCCCGTTCTCCTCACAGGTGCATCCCTCCACGCTTGTTCACAATTAGCAGCTTGAGCTGTAGGGGGGGTGAAATCTGCACCGACGTTCTTTTGGCCTCTTCGTTCCTTTTCAGTCTGTTCTCTCTGGATTTGTCTCACTCCTTCTCCCACTTCTTTTTTTCTCTCTTTTCTGTTTTCCTCGCCCTTCTTCCACTCCTTCTCCTCCCTCCCCTTCTGCTATACCTATCTATCTATAGTCCGGCAGATGCTGTCCCATTTGTACTCTCCCCCATGACATTCCTACGGGGGATTGCTTAAGGATTCAGGAGCCTCGGTGCTCATGGATCACACTGACACTTGGTCAGCATCAGCAGATTATGAACTATAGGCGCCTGACACCCCGCCATTGTTCCTCCATCTAAATATGAACAATAAGGCCCATCCGACGCCCACGCTGACAGCTTATTCGCTCTTATCACTCCCGTGGAGTCGCCCGGCATGATCTGAGCGCCTCCCCCTTTCTCCTCCCCCATGTACATGCCTCACCCTGCCTCCCCCTCAACCCTACACCTCCCTACACCTCCCCCCATGCCCCAGCCTCTTCATCCAGCCAAAGGGCCTGAGTGGAAGGATTTGGGAGGACGAGTAATATTGGAGGGAATGTAAGGGAGGAAGAGGCAGGGGTCTCATAGAAAAGCTGACAGAAAGATACAGACAATGGTCCGAGGATTCCTTTGGGTGCATCATTTAGGATGAACTTTACTTGAAAAACCAAAGCTTGGTTCTAGGACACTGTGGCACATGGGGAGGGTCCAAGTTATATCAGCTCTCACAGTTCAAAACTGCTGAATTTGGTGTTATTGAGCATTTCCGTGGAAGCAGATGTGGATATCATGCTTTCCTGGTGGAATCTTAGAAATGGTCTTACTGGCTTGTTTGCACAGGTTTAGTGGAGATGCAGTCCCTTTATGAATCAGGCCCTCGCTTTGCTCTAAAATACGAACAACTGTATCACAAAAACTGAGAGAATCTGATTTAAAGGGATATTCCAGTGTTTTTGAGCTGCAAAACTCTGCTGCAATCTGTAAGCAAGTCATCAGGGCTCCCCCCTCAAACAAGCAGCTGCTGGAGGAGAGTGGGTGAGTTGTGTTTAGTCTCTTTGCAAAAGAAACCAGGCAAAGCTAAAAAGATGTTTGATGGCTAGTACTATGGCTAGGACCCTATATGTACTGTTGGTGAAGTTAGATGCTGTTCTGAGCATTATTTGTGGCTATAGGGTGCCTTTTTGTTGAGGTTTGCGTGTGGAGAGGTAGACTGCTGTGTATTGCTATCGTGCAGCATTCATCTCTCGACAGGGTGTCTAACTCGGTGTTACGGTGTGTTTGACCATAACTTAAATTTACACCGGAATATCTCTTTAAGGTCAGCAGGTGTATTGGTTATAATCTAAAGAACCTGACATGACTGTATTGAGATGTGAACTCAGGGCAGAGTTGTAGCCGAGTCATCAAACCCTGAGTCCAACCAAATGTCAAGTCTGAGTCAGTTATAGGCCACCAATGAAGAATCCCATTCGACTCCACGCTACTTGAGTCTGACTCATTCCTTAATTGTAATTATTATTGTTTATTGCAAGCAGGAAATATGCACCTAGATTGACTGTGTTGACTCAGATGTCAATGTGTCTGAGATTTAAGTGGTCCTGTATGGCAGGTTTTTAGGATCAGGACCACTTCTCAGCGACTCCATCCTGCACTCCTATTAAGTCAAACACAACCCTTATTTGTTGTTAGTGGTTTGTTGTTAGTTGTGTTCGACCACAAGTTAAATTTACGCTGGAATATCCCTTTAAAGGTCTGCCTCTATTACAAACCTGTTTCATATGAAAGCCTCTTATCTTCGGCAGTAAAAGCCATTACACAACTCGGCTCATGTTTAAGAATTATGGTACAAGGTGTTGTAAAACTTTGCAGCAGTTTCGTGGACACCCAACACTCGAACATCATATGTAAAGTATGTCTTAGAAATGAGCATGCACCATACTTACTTCAAGCCTAGAAAGACATGTGATACCTCCTGTGGTGGCTCCTGATGTTGGCATAAAAGTGAACTGCAGGGTCTTACCAATATAGATGGACTTTCTCTGATTACTGGAGTGTTTTCACACCATATATCAACTGAATATCAGCAGGGTTTGCTTAATGAATAATTACCATGACATCACATCACCCTGCCACTGATCCGCATGTTATTGTCACCATCACTACTTCACAACCTCCTCCAGCGTCTTAATGAGACTGACCAAGTTCTCTGTTGACAGCACACCTTCTACAAAAAGAACAGGGAAAGAGAGAGAGAGAGAGTAAGATGGAGGGTGGATGGAGAAAAAGAGGAGAACAGTGTGAGGAAAAAGGAGCAGGAGAGCAGTGGAGAGTGGCGAAGCTTTCTGAGCGGAGCAGGAATTAACAGGGCCCCAGGGATGGCCAGATCAGAGCCGGGGTCCCAAGAGAGCACTTACCACAGGGGCCCCCCACGCTTGTTACAGCAAGGCAGGGGCCACTAGGGGACTCCCAGGGCTACACTTCACAAATGCGGGGCTCAATTCGCCATGCAAGATG